CTACTTCTTCTTTGGCCTATGCCTTGACGTAAGCGTTCGGCACGTCGCCGTGGCGAGCTGGAACAACCCAAATTCAAGCTACTACCAATACTGCCTTCCCTCATGTCATTTCTAGCACGGGTGCAAATATCAGCGTGTAATTAACGCCCAATATTTGCTTTTTCCGCACGCCACCATTTAGCTTTGTAACGCTCGATACCTCCTTCCGCGCTCAATTACTTTGTACTTCACTTTGTAATGGGCCTACGCTAAGCCCACTACTTCGGCACACGTTAGCGCACGTGTATGAGGAAGCGTAAGTTGCGTTTCACTTAGATTAGCTTCTTTCTTTCGTCCGAAAGTATAGATTTACTTTAATAGGAATGCAAAGCCGATTTTCGGTAAAATGAGAGGCGTTTATTTGTTTGCTTGGGGCTTCCTAATCTAATATTTGAGTGAAAGGTATTTATCAACGAATGGTTGACAGAATCCTACTATTCTAACTGGTTGAAGATATTGACTTTTAGCCAACATATGCCCTAAATGCATGCAGACCAGCAGTCTGCCACATGTAACCATTTGTGTATCTCTGTGAGAACCAATTTTGTAGCCAAATAACTATATTTAGCCATTTGCGTGCAGTCCTGTTACAAACTTGGTATGCAACCGCGCCGTTTTAGAAGAGCATTTTACGGGCGTCCAAGTTGCATTCGCGATTAAGGCTGAAAGATCAACTTCTTCCGCCTTGGTCTATTGAGAAGCGCCCTTACTGCGATAAGCTTCTCGGTAATGTTTAGGCTCAGGTGAGGGCTCAGGACCACTTACAGTCGCGTGTGCCACGTCCGCAAGCCAGTCAGTCTCATTTTGATCGATTTCACTGGAGTTATCGGCATCTTTCTGCTTGCGGGATTTGCGTCGTTTCCTAGTCGAATGTTGCAGTCGTCTTGGGTCTGCTGCTGCTTGTTTACTTTCATGATCCTGGGCGACTGTGCTCGTAGCAGATCCTTCTTCGTTTTGGCTGATGGCTTGACGAGTGAAAGGGTTGCTAAGAGATACTGGCTCCTCCAAATTCGCGACAGGTTGTGTGGCCACCACAATTCGATCGGTAGACATGTACACAAAGTATTCTTTTGTGGTCTCGCTTTTTCCATTCATGCGTCCGCTGACAGCTCGTCTCTTTAGGGACTTCTTCTCTAATCGCGCCGCACAGTAGACTTAGCGCCAAATGTTGCACACGTCTCGTAGACTCTGTGCCTTACCAGTAAGTACTTCGATCGGAGATTCCCGCCTCTCGTTGGCTCGGGTCGGGCTCCTATTCAAGATGAAAGCTGCATATTCAGCAGCATCACTCCGGCAACTCAGCGCGATGCCTGCACCAAATAACATGCAGCAGGCCATATTTAAAATGGCTCGTGGCATGTGTTCAGCATTGCCATTCGAAGCTTGGTTTCAGGCCTCACTGATCTGCCGTGATACGCCCTCCTCCTCACAGAATACGTCTATTGCGATTTGCCATCGCTGTCTGTGCGAAGCACATGGATCTTGCACGAAAACGTCTCTTCAAAATAGACGAGAAATTTCTTAAACTTCCGAGCTGCTTCGTCCTTCGTCTTCGCCGCGAAAATGCGGCAGTAATTACTCTTGTGGTCGATGAAGCTGACAAGGTATCGGTTTTTATGGCGGTCGCATGGGGTCATCGGGCTCTTTAAGTCACTGCAAATGACACCACCGACTCACTCGATTGGCGCTTTCTTCCCGGTATCTGTGACTGCGTGGACTTCGTTTGCTCACCCTCAGCGCGCGTTATACACACTTCACGGGTGTAATCTGTGATGGCGATGTCAGATTTCAGGTCACGCGCTTTGCGCTAAACTATGTCGTATCCTAAGTCGCCAAACCGTTCGTGGAAGCCCATGAGCGTGTCGTGCTGCAGTGCCGTCGTCGCCTTTTCTTCTGCCAAATTGCTTATAATGTAGCCAGCTGATGCTGTCGTCGACTTCCGTACAGCCGTAAGTTCAGCGACAAGGACGTCATTATCGAGCTCTACAGGGTACACGATTTCCTTGCCGCTCGCGTTGGCTTAGCCTCCGTTGATCTCGACCAGCGAACACCCGCGATTCATTAGCTTACCTAGCAACATCAGGTTATGAGCCCAAGCGGTGACCTCGATGCACCTTAAAGAGGATGCTGTGCTATTGGGCTCATAATTTTAAGGCAGATTCTGTTGCGCTCGAGGGAGAAGAATGTAAAGTGAGCTTTATTACCTGGTTAGAAAATTCCCTTTACTAACCTGCTTTTTCAACAACTCGTTCCACATCGCAAAAAGAGTCAATAATAACTTCAAAATCTTATGAGCTTTGCTGAACGTTTTATCAACCAATTGCGGTGTGTCATACGCAACAGTTGCCGCCATTGCAGATCGTTCTCTGGCAAGGCCGGCCAGACACCAGTAACATCGTTCTCCAGCTTGTCGCCAGTGTCGGAAGGTTACCAATACGGCCGAGATCCCGATAAGACAAATTACGACGCCACAGCGGAGGAGGCTACGAGGATCGACTACACGAGCAACACGACACTGGGTTGGCAAGGGCACGTTGCCTGCAGGAAGGCAACATTTTTTCTGGTAAAAACTGCTACTGTTGAAGTTTTTGTCGACGGTGGAGATGCTCTAATACAGCAATAATCTATGTCATACGTCTAACATTCCTTTTGATATTTCACTCGCGCTTGTGGTGCACCAAATTATCTGATACTATAATCTACTTCTAGTGTTTAAAAGGCTCATACTACAGTAAGACCTGTCCTAAATGATCCCCGTCAAGTCTGATATCCTAATATATCTGATATGGAATCGATCCACCGACTTGGTATTTAGCAATTCTATGGGACAAATCTGATGGTGCCGAAACGCGTAACTTGATATGCTTTTCTCCCAAAAAATATATAAATTGTATGCATTTCTTTACTTAAGAGCGTGAAGTGGCAGCAAAAAAGCTCGTAATCGAAGTCTGAGTTTCTAACCGGGGTTTCTCTCGCGCACGCGATTGAAGGAGTCGTAGGCCCTTCTAAGACTTCTTCTCTAAATCTGGGTGGTCCGTTATCATTAGAAGTATTCCTCGGACTGCATCAACACCTTGTTTTGCAGTCATAGCGTAGCTCTCTTCTTCTACAGCATCATCATATTTGGTAGGCATGCTTTCCGTAGCAATTTCCAGAAAAGCAATATCAGCTGTGTTGCTCAAGAGTTTCGTTGCTGAAAACGACTGCATTTCCGTGTTCTCCTCCGCAGCGTTGCAAACGAAGTCTGCAATGTCCATTGGGTTACGAACCCGTAGCCGTGTCATACATTCGAGCAACTCACTTTCCAAGATGCTGTCAACTTCCCTTCGGAAACGGTGGGATGATGAGCGGCCGCGTATTACCCCTGTGTGCTTGAAACAATTCAGTACAAGTTCGCCGTCGATATCTCTCCAGTAAGACTTCACCCATTTTATAGCTAGTAGCTGGTCGATTGCATAGATATTGCCGTCATCACCGGCTTCTTCGAGATCCAATGCGTGCTGGAGTTGTCCGTGACGATAACGCCGCTTCATTGCTGCAATAATTCCTGCGTCTAGAGGCTGCAATTTGGAAGTTGTATTTGGCGGCAAAAAGTGAATTTTCCCATTTTGCAACTCCAACCTAACAGTAATGCGCGAAGACGCATTATCAATAAGAAGGACAACGTGGCGTTTGAGGTTCTTCACCTCCATGTCAAAATCGTGTAGCCACTCGAGAAAAAGTATCGCTGTCATCCACGCTTTCTTGTTGTTTCTGTACGTGAAGCCGTGTTCAGCGCCGGTCTTCTTCTTGAAGCATCTTGGCTTACTAGCGTGTCCAATAAAAAGAAGGTTCTCTCATGTCCGATCCATCTGCGTTGCAGGCAAGCGCAACCGTTATTCGTGTCTTACTCTTCTTGATACCTTCAATTTGAGTGCGTGCAATCGTCCGATCTGGATACAAATTGTAAAATAGGCCCGTTTCGTCGAAATTGCTAAAAGTCCGCTAGCGCATAATCTTTCGCGGCAGCACGAATGCGCTCAAGTTGAATTGGAAGTGACGCCATATCCACCGAACCACTTTCACCGAGCGACGTAAAGCTTGTAAAATCATGCCGGCTTTGGAAGGAATCAAGCCATCCATTCGAAAATGATAGTCTGTCCGACTCATTAGCAGACATTGGCTTGAGCAGCCGGGCCCCCTTTGCCTTCACCATATTTCCATCTATCATAACGCGCCGTGCTTGACAGTGAATAACCAAAATAGCAAGGGCGTCATTTAGCTCTGGAAATGCAAGTAGTCGCGGCCGACGTGCTTGCAAATCTTCTTCTCGAACGGTTTGATAGCGACCTGTTTGCGATAGTATTGCCGAAATAGTCCCTTGAGCAGGCTTCTTGATTATTGCAAATTCTCGTTGTGCCCTTTGGGCAAGCTGCTCCTGTGTAAGCGTCGGGTTTTCCAGTTTCCACGAGCATTTTTGTCTTTTGCTCAAAATTGAGGTTGCCAACGTATTTCTGTTTTCGAGGCATGGTAAAAGCCAAAGTGAGAGTCGTAGAGAAGGAAGGGGAGCCAGCCGAGGTAGGACATGGTGATAAAAAGCTAATGGTCCTCCCAAATCTGATAAACTTGCTATATCTGATAGTGACCTCGTCCATAGGACTTATCATGTAGGAAAGGTTTTACTGTAATTATTTAATTGTAGCTTTGACATTCAATAGATAAAAATGCAGATACCGGTGATTCACCGGCGGTGAATGAGATAATTACTACTTCTGAAGTACTATTCGACGCACAGTATTTAAACATGTATTTAAACTAGTTTTAAAGAGAGCAAACAGCATTCAACTTTGACAGTGTAAGCAACTTAAAAGTTGCTAATACTAAAGAAATAACGTTACGAGCAATATGATGTTAACATCAATACAAAAAAATTTGTACTTCCACAACAGGTAAACGTGGCATTGACCTACCATCTCCACTCCCTACAGAAGGCACTCGAACCACTTCAATGGTTTCTTGTTATCATTGAACATGCCATCGCCGTTCCGGAAAGACGTGTCCACGTGGTTCAATCCAGTCCGGTAGTGCGCACTTGTGTAAGTGTTGTCGAAGATGTCAGGATTGAGCCCCAACGCGCAGCTTGTGTACTCCACAATACCATCATTTTGAGTGGAATGATGCGGCAGAATCTTACCAGCCAGCGCATAGATAGCCGCCTTTACTGTCACTAATCCCGAAAAACTGGTGCTGCACATGACAGCGTCCACGTTCTTAGCAAACGCGTCTTGGGCGCCAGCGTAGGCATCGTTCAGCGGCATTGACGAGAAGTTGGTGCCTTGGTAGGCAAGTGACGTCTCACCCGTGTTGGCTGGACAGTTGCCCAGCAGCTCAATGATGCTGGCAACGAAGCCAGTTTGCTTTCCCGCACACGATTCCTGGATATAGTTGGACCCCATACTTCCCTCCATGGGGGCACTGGCAGAAACCCAAGTCGTCGAAGCGTCAAGAGTGGCCTTTTTGTTGGCGATAGCTCCTGCCAGAATGAGGTTCGCCATCGAGTGGCCCACGTAGATCGTGTCCTTGATAGTTCCCGTGGCCGGGTCACTCGTATCGCTCACCTGAACTAGCAGATCGACAAGTCGTTGCTGGAATGCAGAGTCATTCCACGAGTTTTCCTTGGTGGCCAGTGTAATGAACTTCCTGCTGGAGCAGCACGGCGAGTGATCCTTAATTTCGTCTCCAAAGTAGCCTTCGGGGTCGTCCTCTGTTAGACCGTAATCGTCGTATGAGCTCAGACCAGCGACGAACACACATGCGCGTTTAGCGCCTTTGCAGCCACAACTATCGTCCGTGATGAGATCCCAAGCGCTGTCAAAGAAACCCTCAGCCACTTGTTCGCGTAGAGCACGGTGTCTCCATTCCGAGAACGATCGAGTCAGCATTGACGGCAGAGACGGAGTGACACGCTCTCCAAATGGAACCTTTCCACATGAGGTCAGTAACTCCGTCGACACGCGTGGAGCGACGATAACTGGAGCAGTCTGTTCGTATTTCACTCCAACGTTCAGGTGCTTACCAAAGACCTGGAATCCGCCATCCTCAAGCCAAGATTGGTCTGAACATAGCACGAAGTCTTCTCCGGCGAGCTGGAATACCATAACGGAGCCACCGGGGCACTTGTCGTTCGAGGTACCGGACTGTGTAGCCGTGGTAGCCCCGTAAATGGCGCTCAATACACTCTCGATAGGTGGTACCGAGCCCGACGGAAGACAGCCCGACTCAGCGTCTGATGCCGGGAGACCATTCGGACGACGAGTATAGTAGGTGGTACCGTCCACGAGGGAGTACTCGTGAGTGTGGCCGTCCTCCTCGAACGACGCCATTCCGTTGTATACCATAGTGTTGTCGTCAGCCGAGCGCTTTAGTGCCGGAGTCGCAATTACGTCAAAAGTCGACGCGCCATGCACATACATGGCCTTACGCTTGAGCTCAAAAGTGAGTCGAAGTGCCGGTTGTTCCTGAAGGTTCCGAAGAATATGGTGCTTGGCAATGTGAGAGTGGAAATGGTGCGTACAGTTGGTTAACTGGGTGACGACGAGTAGGACGCCGATGGCTGCGACCGCTACGAGACGCCAAGATGTCCATGGTCTTCGGGTTGACCGTGATTCACCTAGAGGCTGCTTCACAACACCTTCTTCGAGGCCCATGACGACAAGTTGACGCAATGCTAAAAAGAAAAGTGACTTCGGTTCGACAGCATACACTCAACGTGTGTCTGTGAGAACCTCGAAATTCGTCGACGAGCGGCCTAAACAGTCGTGGTACAATTGCGAGAAACCTTCACCTCGGATTTGCCAAAACTAGGATTGACTATGGTCAGACATCCTTTGATTCACGTTGTATTACATACACGCATCTGGCTCCGCGGATAGAGATTCGGGGAGCCAGTACGGGGCTGTGCTCAAGGATGCTTGCCAAGTCTTGGAACTATTAATATTGACCGGAATAACCATACAAGCACGTGTAATAAGTTGAGACTCTTTCTACGGTCAGAGAGCCCAGCGTTTTTAAACGTCTGGGCAGCCGGAACAACCATTTTTTTTAAATACCGGAGCATTATCGGTCTCGTCGCGGCAGTAGAGTATGCGGCTACGAGGAATGTCTACGTTGAAGACATTCACAACCCACGCAAAAGCTTGGGTGAGTCACGACCTTTACTGCGATGTTGCTTTAAACTAATCCCCTCAATTTGCTACTTCGTTGTACATAGTATACTATTCGGAGTGGTTTATAAATCTTAGGTCAATCAAGATCAACCGCCATAAGAATGGCCCGCGAAACCTATAATCTTTGACGAGGTTATCGTTTATTATTTAGCCAGTAAACTCTTTTTTCTTTTTTAAAAAAAAAGAGTTTACTGGCTAAATTCGACTTCACTTGCATGTCGCCCCTAAAAATGTATTTATGCTCTCTTCTCGGTGCTGCCATACTGAAGTGAACTCGAGAGAAATAAACGTAGCAATGTACTTTTAAGTACATGAGCAAGGGAACTTTACTCGGAACAGGTGTATTATTCTTTAGTACAAGCTTATTTCCGCAATTAGAAGGCTATACCTAGAGGAGCTGAACAGTCAAAGAGCTCATCGAAAAGTGCTCCCAGACGTCATTTCCAGCGTGAGAGTGTATTTATGTTCTTGTTACTGCTATTCTACTAGCACCGTGCTCCCTACCCGTGCACTCCGGGAGCCTTTAAAGCTATTCCAGCTATGATAACATTCTCTTGTCATTTTTAGGCATTTCAAAGCAGCCGGTATACTTAGTCTCTTAGGGCATGTTGAGCAAAATTAAGCGTTTACCTGGTTAATTTCAATACTCATTTTAACAGATGATACCCTGCTTTTCTCTGGTATAGCCTGGCGAGATAAGAGCCCGCTATATTGACGAGTGCGGAGAAACCCCATAATGTTTCTTGAAACGTTTAATTATCTCGAAAAAAGATTGTGGCTCCTTCATCTTTTCAAGCTCTTTGACCGGCATGACGAACATCTTCGCTGATGCACCATGTCTTCAGCTTCACAAAAGGCAGCTCATCGGGGTTTTACTTCATGCTCCTGACGTTGTAGTAGTAATGGTGTCCATATTTTGTTAATTCCGGCCAAGCTTATCTTTTAGTACTTCTGGCTTATGAGAAACAGAGCACTGACCGTGGTGACGGCTTGGTCGACAATTGAGGCGTTACATCAAGCGAAGAAAAGTTCAGCGGAGGAAGCCTCGATTGGCTAAAAAGATGCCGCTCGCAGCGAAGGCTTCCCCCATTAGCTAAACTCGACATGATGTGGTGCACGTACAATATGGTCTTAGAAACTGCTGATAAAATTTGCAGTCCGTGGTGGGTAAACCGGCTTAAATAGTCATTTTTAGCTCTTATTATTTAAAAAAATGATGGCTAAAGCTTCGTACTACTTTTATAATAGTTTCACTAATTTTTTATGCGGTAATATTCAAATTATCTTTCAATTTTTTGAGCGCAACGTTTAGTTGTTATAATAATATTAATTGCTATTAACAATATCAGCTAAGCACGATTTTGTATTGTGCTTTGCAGCGATTTTGGATTAAATTTGCTAGATTTATAAGTAGTTGGTGGTGGATTTACGATAATGCGAGCTCATAAAGCCGTGATCCAGAATGATTTACACTAAAACGACCAATATTGCACTTTTTATACTTTAATTCTAGCATTGTTCACCTGTGCCCGTAGCTGTACAATCAAATTGGGATGGATTCACCAACGCAAACGTAAGGCTTTATTGCTGGTGTAGCCTTGTGGCCACATCGATTAATGACTCTTTTCCACACATTACAATGACGGGCTCCCTTTATTAGCGCCTAAAAATACGGCAAAACAGCTGCAAAGCAGAATTATTACAAGTATAATAAAACGTTTAAAATGCAATTATATGAGTAATTTCCAAACATCCGACACCACACAAACCACTCTGCCGTCGAGAAAAGATCGTCCTACTTTGTATTTGCGATCGTAGTGTGCGACCCTAAGGGCATGTGCGCCCTTTCGAACCCGATACGTTGGGCACATCAAACGCACTGGAAACAGGGTTTGTGATTGAAATAGCGCGGACGGCCATGCTTAAGCAAGAACACCAAACGCGGAGGAGCACCGTGCCAGACTAAGTACACGATGGGATAGAAGGAACAAAACGAAGCACGGAAGGCCACGGACGATGATAAAGGAACCAAACGATTATGAAAGGCACGAACCACGAAAGAGCACGCTATCATGAAAACGTGAAAGGACAAGAAAATGACGGGAGCGTACGGACCACAGACGATAACTGAAATAATGGCACCCCAACATGCTGAAAAGCACGGGCCCCGGAAGAACACGTACGTTCGAAACCGCAGTAGAATACGAAAATTTGGCAGTGCACGAAAAGGAATTATCCCATAATACCACGATTGATCAGGGAGTGCGGTCGACGGATCAAATATGAACCTGCTAGGGGCCATAAACGAAATGGTGTTGTTTTGTTAAATGATGATTAATTAAAGATCACCTAGTATTGGAGCAGGATACCAGGATAGAACCGGAGCTCACTGATCTACGAAGCACGATACTGCGGTAGCAGGAGCGACACACCAGCGGCGACAACACAAAATAACACGATAATTTGGACTGTGGCTAAACCACTAAACCATGAAAGAAGATGCAGCCACTAAAGCTAGAGACGGAAAATCACCGATCCACGGAGCACGATACCAGCGTAGAGACTGAGATCACCGAGCCACGATTATCGATGGTTCATAGAACACGATTGCACGGACGGCGGGCCAGTGAAGCAATCATGGGAGAATGCTTCGGAAGGCCATAATTGCACAACGATGAGCACGATAGCATCGAAGAACACGATAACACGGGCAGCTCAGATATACTGCGCGGGCATGATATCATAGACGGCACGGCCACACCGCGATAGCACGATAGCACGATTGTGCGATAACGCGGTCGATTGACCTACACCAGGAGAGCGCGATACATGGGCGACGGGGTCCCATAACTGGGGGAGATGACAACGAAATCACGGAAAGCACCATTATCGAGGGTACCGGTGATGGGGCGCCACCGGCCACGAAAGATTGTGGATCACGAAACGTGTTAGGCCCACGAAAGCGTTTTAAGCCAGCACCCACGACAGAGCGCCGTACTACGGAAGCATGTGGAGCCAAAAGAGAGACCTTTTAACCACTACACAGCGTGGTCCCGCGGAGCAGGGGACGACGAACCCAGGAAGGATACCGAAGAGGACGGGCCACGAAATAATATGAAATCCAATCGGTGGTACGGGGCAACGGTAGTGAACGAAACCACATTATCGTAAGAGCCCCCCCTGCGTCTGCGGAATGGTAAGTGGTTCAAGTACACGAAGCCACAACTTAACGGGGCGGGCTAGACACGTGAAACACGCGACACCACGAAGTACTTAATTTTATGGCCAACCCATCTCCAACAAACCATACCACCCCGCCGCGTAGCGAATAGCTAGTTCTAAACAGCTATTGCGGCAACCTGTCTATTCGTCACGCATAATTGTCGTGTCTGTAACGCTTTTTAGCGCACATTATTGGATATGATTTATGAAAACAACATACATGATTGATAAATAAACTGTACGTGCTAGATTTAATGACGATAGCTCGATCCTGGAGCAGCCGGGTTTGCGTAGCTAAGCAAAAATCTGTGCGTGACAATATTTAAATTTGAAGTCGCTTATTCGCTACTAGATTTTTCTCAGCGGTTTAACAATTTAGTTTTGCTAGCGCACAATTTCTTAGTGGCACCACAAATGTAATATTGCAAGTACGTGCTTAATGCACTCCAAATCATTAGTAGTGCGGGTCCATCCGGTCGATTCTTTGGCGACCACGCTTATTGACCAGAATGATTATTACCAGAGGGCACCATCGTTGCTTCGCATATTTACGTCTGCAACAGCTGGATATTACGTACGGACTACATTTACGTGTGCCACCGTAAATCAGGCACGTACAAATGTAGACTTCTCACATTGAAGGTCGGACCCTAATTTACCAATATTATACTCTCATTATTAAAAAAACCCTCTCTCGACTATGGCTCTTTGCGCACCCGTGACTTCGACAGCGACAACTACCTCGGCTTACGTTCTGCCGTACTCGCGAATCAAATGCGTATCTATGCACTAGAGTTAACGCTCTCGAGTTGTTCGATTCAGGCAGTGAGGCCTACAAAGACAGCGATACCGACGACGACGAGCCTGAACCGTGGCTCATCGAGATTTTTACCGAATCCAAACGAAACGTTGACGAAAGTGTCATGCAAATCATATATTTAACTTCTGACACCGAATCATTTAATCTAACCTTAGATATTGTTTTTCTTAAACGGAATAAATTCGCTTCACTGTCTATCTAATTTACAAATTATTTATGAATACCATGGAGCGGGTTTGTTTCCTAGCGGCTGGATTCTTCAAGCCATCGAGACCCTTGCGCATACATCGGTGCGTCACATTTAACATTGGGAGTTGTAATGGTCGTGTGAGTTCTCAGTGTCACCATTCAGTTCATATTTTGCCTTGGACCCCATGATCACCCAAGAGGAGTGGAGAGCTTTGGGGGCTAGGTACGCAGCGCCGCCGGTCGCCGAGGA